CGGCACGGCACCTCACCCTGCGGCCGCGCCACAAAAAGCAGGAGCCAGACCACGGAAAGCCACGCCGAGGCACCCGCCCAGTGACCACCGATAGCGCCGCACCGACGACGACCGATGCCGTCGGCTCGATCACATCGTTTCTCACCGTTTTCTCCACCTGAAACGCATCACAACAGAAAAATTCACGAGTTTGAAAAATAAATAAATCATAAAAACTAAAAATGAAATGTTTCAAAATAAAATGAATAAAATAAAAAATAAAACAATTCACCAAAATTCAGACTAAAAACAGACAGAAACAAAACAGAAAAAAACAGGCCCGAAAAAACCACGATAAGAACCAAACTATCACTATAGTTCTATCTGGGCCGCCCATTTTCGGTCGGGGATGTGCGCCGCGTAGGGATTAGCCTGGATTTGGCACCTATGGGATTCGACCTAGTGCGTGCCCTTTCTATTCCTTTTCCACCGGTTTTGGAAAAGTTCTATAACCGCCATTTTACCATTTTTCTTTTTATGTGTTTTCTTTGATGGTTTATCAGTTTTCTTCGAAATCTTTTATTTTTATTTTTCTATTTTACATTTTTTAATCTGTAAACATTTCTGAAATCCAAAAAACAAAAACAAAAAGTTAACATTTCTTGAACTCGCGGACAACTTTTAAATTAATGAATATTTGTGGAAATTCTTTTTTTTAATTGACAAAAATTAAAATTCATGAACATATTTTAAATTAGTATAAATGTTTTGAATTCATATTTTTTGTCTTATTTAATTTATTTTTTACAAATTCGCCACTATTTTTTGAAATTTGGGAACATTTTTACTTCATGAATGTTTTTATTTAAATTCGGTAAATAAATAAAATGTACTAATATTCTTGAAATTTCAAAAGTGTTTCTAAAATTTATAAATTGTTTTTCACAGAAGATCAAACGAAATATATAGAAGTTGGATGAAAAAACCAGATTCTCTTGAAAGCACATATTCTTTTCCATTTCCGAGAAGAACAAATGTGCTTTTCGCGTAAACAAACATGTGCTTTCCATGCGAAGACCTTTGCTAATTGATTTCATGAACCGGGCCTTCATTTCTTGCTCACAAAGTTGTATGTTGTGTAACTGGGCCTTCAGGAAGTGTACTGCAGGAAGGGGAAGCACGACACCTCGGCGTGGGACGCCCAGTGCACCGGCGTCACCCGAGACGAACCAACCGGCTCCACCATGCAAAGCCGCATCGGCCGGCACGGTCGCCTCATCAACCGCCCAACTCGGCGAGCCGCGCGCGCCCGGTACCCCGCACAGGAGCCCCGGCACGGCCACCGCGCCACAAAAAGCAGGAGCCAGACCGCGAAAAAGCCACGCCGAGGCGCCCGCCCAGTGACCACCGACAGAGCCGCACCGACGACGACCGACGCCGTCGGCTCGATCGCATCGTTTCTCACCGTTTTTCCCACCTGAACTGAAACGCATCGCATCGCATCGAAGGTTCAAAACCCCTGCGCGTGCGGCCCCCACTCCGCCCGTGCCCACCCCCTCCCCTACTAGTACATCAACCCCGGTCGCGGTCGCGCCACGAGAGACGTAGGCAGCGCCCATCTTTTGACGCCGCCTGTGCCTTTTTCCGGCGGAAGGCAGGCAGGCAGAAGAACCCCGGGACACGGCCCGCATGGACATCAAGGAGCGGATCCGCCGCACGCCGCGGGAGGAGGAGGCGCCCGCGGAGGCGTCTCCGCGCGGGAGGAAGGGCGGCGCGGCGATGCTGCTGCTGCGGTGGTCCCTGCCGGCCGCGGCGCTCGTCGTCTGCGCCGTCCTCCTCCTCATGCTCGCCGGGGGCTCCGCCGCGCGGAGGGGCCATCTCCTCGACGCTGATCCCTCCGGGCGCGATGACCTGCGCCTCGTCCGTCCGCGAGATGGTACGTACGTGAGACACATACCACGGATACGCCTGCGCCCGTAACGCAAGTTTCCATTTTTGAGTTCGGCTGCCGCTAGGACCACGGCTTTTGTTCGAACCCTGAATTCTCGGACTTGTACATTCAGGGTGCCAAGCATGGCGCCTTTAATGTCTGGGCTCCATGACTTTCTTCGCTGGGCTGATACTCCCTCTTCTCTTTTGACATGTGCGCTGATACTCCCTAGTTATTGCAAGCGAGTTTTTTTTTTTTCCAGTATTTTTTGTGTCAGTTTAGCTCTTAAACTTTAAAATGTTGCAAGTTGCTAGGTTTTGGTACGTTTGATGTTTACTGATATTTACCGTCGGTGATGGTAATTGTCAGTGACTAGCCACAACGTTCTTCAGATCACAATGTGCAGTATGAGCGCAGTGAACACTATTGCCTACAGAATGCTGGGGTTCTGAATGCCGCCCCGAGCTCTCGTTACATGTGTATTTTTTTTTGTACTAATTGCTAAATTTCCTTGTATACCGTGATATCCATAGCATATGAGCATTGATGCTAAATTACTTTACCATCATTTGCCATGGTAAACAGGGTCAGCTTTGTCTAGTTTATGTTTCATGCGACTGTTGTTCCGTGCCTTGTCTTGTTTATGCACTGCATTGTTCTATCCTTGTCATCCGCATTTACTGACTGACTTGAGTAATCCGCGCCTACCTCAGGCATCAATGACACTTGACCAAAAGATGAACATTTTGTTTTCATTTTTCTTCTGCAGATTGAAGCATAACTCTTATGTTCTGTACATGAATTCTGATACAATGTTTTTCTGTTGTTGTGTTTTCAGAAGACGGCACCTCAGGATCTCCGGAAGTTGTCAAGGACAAATTACTTGGAGGCTTGCTAGCTCCTGGTTTTGATGAACAATCTTGCCTAAGTAGATACCAATCAGTACTGTATCGTCGAATATCGCCCCACTTTCCATCTACCTACCTCTTGGAAAGATTAAGGGAACAAGAGGCCCTCCAGAAAAAGTGTGGTCCACGTACTGAATTATACATGAAAGCTCTTGAGCAGCTTAAGTCTGGTCAGGATATTAAGGTTATGGACTGCAACTATCTGGTGTGGACAGCTTACAGTGGTCTCGGGAACAGGATCTTAACAATCGCCTCAGCATTTCTGTATGCAATCCTTACAAACAGAGTCTTACTTGTCGACGGAGATAAAGGCACCGCAGATCTCTTCTGCGAACCATTTCCTGAAACTTCATGGCTGCTACCGTCAGATTTCCCCATTAAGCAGTTCAAGAACTTCAGTGTTGTCTCTCCTGAGAGTTACGGAAACAAGCTGAAGAGTAAAGTTGTTCAACGTAGCCCTGCTTTTGTCTATCTTCATTTGGCTCATGACTATAGTGACTTCGATAAGCTTTTCTTCTGTGAAGATAATCAGCACTATCTCCAAACAATCCCATGGCTGATCCTGAAATCAGATAATTACTTTGTACCTTCACTTTTCCTGATCCCGGCATACCAAGAGGAACTCATGAGGCTTTTTCCCCAGAGAGATGTGGTTTTCCATCACTTGGGACGTTACTTGTTTCACCCCAGCAATTCCGTTTGGGGCATGATTACAAGATACTATGATTCTTATCTTGCCAGAGCTGATGAAAAGTTGGGTATCCAGATCAGAGTCTTCGACACCGAAACTGGTCCGTTTAAGCATGTCATGGATCAGGTCCTTGCATGTACATTCAAGGAACACTTGTTGCCAGAGGTTGACACTCAAGAGCAAATTGTCTCACCAAGGAAGGCCAAGTTGAAAGCTGTTCTAGTTACTTCTTTAAACTCAGGATACTACGAAGAATTCAGAAACATGTACTGGGAACATCCTACGGCAAATGGTGAGACAATTAGCTTCCACCAGCCAAGTCACGAGGAACATCAAGACTCAGACAAGAAAATGCACAACAGGAAAGCCTGGGCAGAGATATATCTGTTAAGCTTATCTGATGTCATGGTGACCAGTGCATGGTCAACTTTTGGGTATGTTGCCCAGGGGCTCAGTGGTTTGAAGCCATGGCTTCTGTTCAAGCCCGAAAACCGCACTGCCCCTGATCCGCCTTGCCGCCAAGTTCTGTCCATGGAACCATGTTTTCATGCTCCACCTTTCTATGATTGCAAAGCTAAGAGAGGAACTGATACGGGAAAACTTGTCCCACATGTAACACATTGTGAAGATATGAGCTGGGGGCTTAAGCTAGTCGATCAGAGTTAGTGGTAGATGTGGTGCGTATTTCCTATCCAACTCATATGTGTACAGTGCAAGCCAATATATGTTTACTTGGATGGTATAGGTGCAACTCTGCTTCTATATTGCAGGGAAGTGTTCTCTGGCTTGGTTGATATAGATGCAATTGCATTAACTGCTGCATTTGTTCTCAAAGATATGTTCTCCAACTTGCAAGACATGCTAGTATTAATTTCCTTGTCTGTATTATTTCCATGTTCTGCGATTTGCATTGAAGCATATGCAAAATCCATGGCAGCGTTTTTCTGCCGCAAAAGCAAAAACATGCTATTTTTGCTGCCATGGCAGCGTTTTTCTGCTGCGGCAGAGTCATTAGTGTTTTTTTTTGCAAAAAATTAGACGTAGAGTGGTAGTTCTCTGCTAATTTTTGTAGAGTGGTAGTTTCTCGACAAGATTGGTTGGAATGTGGTAATTTTTTGTTAAACACTCTGTCGGAAAACTGCAAAAACGCTGCCATGGCAGAGTTTCTTCGAAAAAAGCACAAGCGTATACTGCAGACAAGGATCAATAGCAAGAACCAGAAGCATCATTGTGTCGATATAAACTATAAATGTATCTTTTTGCATTTGAAGAAAATCAAATTTTCACCCCACCTGTAGGGCAACTGTGTACTGAGTTTTTACAGTTCCTCCCACAGAAGTTTCATATTCAGTTTTCGTTACCGATAGAGCCTTGCAAAGAGGGAGCTGAGAAGAATTGCGCTTCCTGTAAGAGACCATTGTGATCTGACGTGCTACACCTTTATTATATGGAAAAAAGGAAAAAACAAACGAAATTTCGAGACAGGGAGTTTTCAAGACAAGGTTAGTGCATGAATGATATTTTTGTTGAACGGGTCTGAAAGATGTGTCAAAAGATTCTCGATGGGCCCAGCATGAGTCACAGACGCTTGCACAATAAAGCCAAGCATAGCAACCATTGCCAACCTCCCTGTGATTGTTAGAAATAATTATTAGCAAATTACAAATATTACTACAGGATTATCTTGCAAGCAATTGTACTTAGAGACATTGAACCTACCATTCTTAATTTCTTTCAGCTTCACTTCATTCGCATTCTCTATATCTTTGGCCAGCCCCATTGGGTTAAATAGTGGACCCCCAGGGTATCTGTTCAGATTTGAGAATTGTGATAATGATAATTTAGTTAAAGCGTCGAGCGAGAGACTTGCCATTTGCCAAGGGAAATGGTTTCAGTCTTCAGTTGGAGAATGTTGCTTACCCTGGCTGTAAACCCGCAAGTGAAGCTTCTATGCCAAGGAATGTCCCTTCCTTTGCTTGTGATCCTGGACTAACGAAGTCCATGTACCTCTTGGTTTCGACAAATCTGTGGAGGATCAGAGTTGTGACAGGAACAGGTCAGTCTTGTCCTGTTTGAAATCATTATTACAGTGTACACCATTTAAAACTTCTGAGTTACTGGATGATTCTTATGGAACTGAGTAAATGTTTCAGTTGGATGTTGAATTACCCCATCAAGAGAAGCTGGACAAAGAAGAGTGCTGTGGTGTTGGCGAAGTCAAATTTCGTGGCACCAGCTTCAAACCACACGGGTAGGTTGCCGAGTCCTGATACACGGATCAACTACACAGAAACACACCAATTAGACCATATCGATTTCATGTTTGGTTTCTGTGGTAAGAGTGCTATCTATCTTGGAAAATGAAATCCTAAGATGCTCTTATGGAGCTGATATGTTGGATATCATTTTGCTGGCGTTGAGATTGCTATTTTCATTTGGATCAATAGTTCCTGTCATATCTTGGTTTCTCTTCTTTTTTTAACAAGTGGGGATCGTATCGCCCTTCCATTTCCCCTATCAAAATTCAGAAGTCATGAATGGTTTCTCACTCTGTTTTTCACTCTTCAGCTATTTTTGCAAAATCAAGCTTCAGTGCTATGGTTACTGAGAACATGTCGGCATTTTGCAGGAATTAATAAAGAGGTCAATTGAGCAGCTTACATCGGTTCCGAGGATGCCGGCAACCCCTGCCATGGCGAACCGGCAGTGGACGAGCTCGGCCTGGACGTACCACTTCAAGTCCTCGGGCTGCTCCCCGAGCCCCAGGGGATCAAACCCGTAGTCACCAGGCAGCCTACAACAACAAACACCAAGCAATTCATCAGCCTAGCAACCAACCATCGCCACCTGCAGAGAACGCCGGCAGAGATTGGCACGGGTGACTGACGTGCCGTCGAGGTACGCCGGCGGGTCCAGCCCGGGCAGCCATGTCGCGCGCTCCGCGGCGGCCCGGACCACGAACCGTGCTCGCGGCGACTCAACATGGTGTCCAGGCATGGTGACCATGCTCCTGCTGCCGAAAGGCGTGGGCGGCCTGGAGGAGAAGGTGCAGACTCTTCCATGGGCGTTAGCTGCTAACGCCATGGTCGCCGCCGTCGCCGCCGCCGGACTCGGCTGGCTGATCGCTCGCCTGACTGCAGCCGGCGAGGGTCCTTCTTGGCTGCTGCTGTTTTGTTTGGGGCGTGTGGGTGGTGCGTCGGACGGATCAAAAGGCCGTGGATATGGAACTAGAGGCGTTCGTACTTCGTAGCTCCAGTGGCTGTCGAGCCTGCAGCTTTTGTGCCTTTTTTTCTAGGGGATGCAGTTTTTTTTTTTTTGAGACAACTAGGGGATGCAGCTTGTGTGCTGGTTCCAGGCCGGAGTGTATTGGACGGTTCGGGCCCAAGATTTTGTTCCAACGGCATGGTTGGCCCGTCGTCGGCCCACGGCTTGCTGCGACGTCTCGTCCTCCCTCTGTGGTGGCATGGCATGGGCGTGTCTGTAGAGCTGAGAGTGACAGACAGCGCTCGTGCTGATGCATGAACCATGGTTCCAGTCTATTCATCACACTTGCCCCCCCTTAAAAAAATAAAAATTCATCACACTTGCCAAAATATCTTTATACATATCTTATGGGAATAGGAGATTTTCTTTTCTTCCAGCTAAAAGGAAATACTACGGGAATATGAGATTTTCTTTTCTTCAGCTAAAAGGAATTAAAGGGAGAAATTTAAACATACGTGGATTTGGGATGAACACAAACACGAGGTCGTGTTTTATGTTTTCTTTCTTCAGTTTGTGTCTGAAATGCAGTTTAGAAGGTGCCCAAGCAACAAGCATGAAGCATACAACTCAAAAAAAAGAAACAAGCTGCCCATTTGACTGTTTGGGTGGATTCGCCTGTATGACTGTATGAGAAAATCAGCTGCCCTCCCAATAAGATGCAATAATCAGGAAATCAATATGGCAAGTGTGGAGCTGGGTTGTCCACGAGGGTCGTTTCCCATCAAGTACTTGGGACTACCTCTCGCATTGAGAAAGCAAACTCTAGCGCAGTTGCAGTACTTGGTGGACCAGATGGCTAATTGCCTACCTAAGTGGGAGGCAGCCCTTATGCCGAAGAGTGGATGGCTTACTTTGGTACGATCTGTCTTATGCGCCATGCCCATCCATGCAATGATGGCTTTAGATCTCCCGACGAAGACTATTGCAGCTATGAACAAGGTGTGCAGAGGGTTTCTCTGGTGTAGGAGGGCCACTGCGAACGGTGGTAATTCCGTTGTCGCTTGGGATTTGGTTTGTGCTCCAAAATGGGCAGGTGGATTGGGGCTGCCAAACCTCCGATGGCTCAACGTGGCCATGCAGACTAGATGTCTTTGGCTCCAAAGGGTGGACTCGAGCAGACCTTGGAGCGAGTTCAAGATTAAGGTTCCTCCGGAAGCGAAACTATTGTTCCAGGCAGCGAGTAGGAGCGAGGCGCATTGTGAGCTTGCCACGCTCTTCTGGGAGGACCATTGGATTGACGGCATGAGGGTGCAAGACCTTGCGCCGAGTATTTATGCCATGGTACCACCGCGCGCCAAATCGACGAGGCTTGTTGCCCAGGCAATTGAGGATGAATCCTGGGCGCTGGATGTTGGCCCGGAGATGGGGGAGGAGGCACTGATGGAATTCCTCTCACTATGGCTTAGAGTAAACACGTGGGTGCCGGACGTGGACGTACCGAATAAGATTTCTTGGGGTTGGGAGAATAATGGAAATTACTCGGTGAGGTCGGCGTACACGCCAAAGTTTTGGGGCGTACGGTGGAGCCAATGGCGGAGTTAACTTGGACGTCCAGGGCACCTTCCACTTGCAAGTTCTTCACCTGGCTTGCTCTACGGGACCGGTGCTGGACCTCGGATAGACTTGCGAGGAGAGGGCTTCCTCATCAGGATGCTTGCCCCCTATGCGACCAGGAGGAGGAAACGATCAACCACATGTTGCTTACTTGCGTGTTTGCTAGATCAACATGGGCAGTGCTGTGTGCGGCTCTGGGAAAGCCGGAGTGGACTCCGACGGCACAAGACTCCCTGCACAGATGGCTTCGTGATAAACAAGGGCCAAATAGCCTACGGCGAAAGGATCTATATACCATCTTTATACTTACACTTTGGGAGTTGTGGAAGCATTGGAACGCTATTGTGTTCGACGGAGCATCACCGTCGAGGGAGGTGCTTCTAGGTAGAGTGCGGACCGAAGGTTTGACTTGGTCGGTAGCTGGGAAGTTTAAAGGGAATGTAGACCCCTTCTTCCATAGTTTGCTTAGGTGGACGAGTAGTGAGGAGTAAGTGTAAGGAACTTGTGTAAAACTGGGTGGAGGCACTCTTTTGCCTTTCTTCTTTAATATATAATATGCACACTCGTGCATATTCGAGAAAAAAAAGACTGTTTGGCGGCAGTTTGGCTAATCTGCTTTTTTTGTGCCTATTTTTGAGAATAGATCACCGAACACATGACATCTCAGTTCACATAGCCTTTGCGAACCAACCTGTGGTTGGATTGGTTAGAGGGACTGTGGTATCCCTAGCCCACCAGGGTTCAAATCCCGGTGCTCGCATTTATTCCTGGATTTATTTCAGGATTTTCGGCGATGCACATTCAATGGGAGGAGACGTTCTCGTCGACGACGAGGTGCCTACGGTGACTTCGTAAATTCCAAGATGATATGCTGGCTCAGTCTTTCAGAGGTGCTCATAGGGGTAGGGTGTGCGTGTGTGTGTTCATAGGGGTGAGTGTATACGCGTGTATATGAGCGCTTGTATCTGTACTGATGTTCAAAAAAAATTCACATAGCCTTTCTTTTTTTCATTCCTGCGATTTTTTTACTTACTCCGGTGTTTGTTAACAGATCTTAGCACGATCAGATTTCTCTCTCTGCCCGTGACACGTAGGAAAAAAGAAATGATGCCACTAGGGGTACTCCTTTCGGTCCTTTTTAGTTCGCATATAAGATTTGTCTAAAGTCAAACCTCATAAACATTGACCAAGTTTATAAAAAAAATACCGACATTCAGAATGTAAACTCAACAACATTAGATGCGTCATGACTTTAATTTTCATATCGTATGAATTTAGCATTGTACATGTTAATATTTTTTCGATATATGATATTGGTCGAATGGAGGAGGCGACCACAGGAGTGACCGCCGCCCATGCGCGCACTTCGGCCCCTTCTCCGAGCGGAGGACGGCGAGTCGGGGGGTGCTTCTGGGCGTTGGCCGACGACGAAGACAATGAGGCGGATGGTGACTCGTGGGAGTCGCTATCACCGATGACTTCCGACATGATTTGCGAGTTTTTTAACTCCGGCTACGACGAGGAGGGGGTGGCTGCGATCGTAGAGAAGGTGCTACCTCTGGACGATCTGGCAAGGGCTAGACTACAAGCGGGGGAGAAGAAGGAAATGGTCCGGCGGGTCGTTCATCGGAGGACGGCAGCGTCGGCGATTAGGCCATGGAAGGGCCCTCTCCCCAAGGTATGTATGCCTAAACTCACACTATTCGATATGGTTTGTCTAGAATCTTGGACCTTGGTCGTGGGGAGGAAGAAAGGTCCCCGGGCGCCAGCAGCGTCATAGCCAGAGATCACGGGGATCGGGATCGGAAGAGCCCGAGCGCTTTGTTTGAATCTTTTGTTGGGCCGTGAAGGGCCGGTGCTTCGCGATGCCGAGTTGGGCCTCGCTAGGACTGGGTATGAGGCCCAGGGTCCTAGCCAGGAGACCGATCGGAGGGTCAGCGGCAGCTTTGACATGCATGGGAATGATTCGACGTGTGAGCCGGTGATTCCTGCAGTCTTGAGTCCGTCGCTCTGCCCGTGTGCAAAACCTAGGGTTCACCGGGTCGCCGCGCCGGGATTCCTGAAACTTGCTCACAGGCGAGCAACTAGGGTTTGGCCGGTTGTTGCTGATCATGCTGCCATGGCTGGTCGGGGCGCTAGGCAGCCCCCAAGGCTGCGGCGCCGCAGCCCAAGGCGGTGTCGTGGCTTGCGCCGCCGCCGCACCACGTCGCGCAGCCGCAACAGCAACAGGCGGTGCCGACGCAGCAGGTGCCTGCTCCACCCCCGCACAGTGCGGTGTAGCCACCCGCGGCTAGGGCAGCAGCGGTGATGCCCAGAGGCGGCAATGGTTCAGGTCCGCCACGCTTCTCGGCCAACCGAGGTAGGGAGTTCGCCTACGGCGGCCATGGACCCCCTTGAGGCCAAAGGGGAGATGATGGATACGATGCTTGTGGTGAGGGCCAACATTGGGGCTCGTCATCGGCGGGGCAGCGAGCGTGGATATGCTTGGAAAAGTGATGGAATGGCTGATCGTCCGTTCTACGACCCTCCGGGTGGCTTTGTTGAGGGTGCGTTAGGGCCGGATTACCAGCAGTGTGGTGGCTACCGAGGTCATCATGGTGGTCGGGGAGGCAAGAATCACCACCGGCAGCCTCCCCTGCCTGCTGCTACTGTCTTTGACGACATAGAGTCGATTGTTCCTTCGGAGGTGGTTGCGTCTGTGCAGGCGCCAGCTTTGTCAGGACAGGTCATGGCCGCGGTGACGGCTCTTGCAACTGCGACGGTGCCTGAGGCCGAGCCTACTACGGCGGGTGCTGTCAAAGTGGCTGAGAAACTAGATGGAGATCGAGCTGCCAAGTGGGCTCGTAAGAAGGAGAAAATGCTATGTTATCGTTGTAGTGAGCAGGGTCACTATTGCGGAGTGTACCACGGAGCTTTGTGACACGTGCCTCAAACCAGCGCACACTACAGGAGAGTGTCCGTTGTTACCTGAGCCGATGCCGGGAGTCACCATATACGGAGTTTGCTGCTCCGAACTGATGTTCTTTGAGTCTCCTAGTGCGATGACGGTCCCAGAGATGCCGTAGAGTGCGACCACGGGAGTGGTCAAAGTGACTAAAGGTGACTTGTCGGAGGCACAGATCTTATAGAGGTTTAAAGAGCTTGCTCCAGGAAACTCTTAGTGGGATCTTATTAGACTAGATGCCAATGTGTACAAGGTAGACTTTCCTTCAGCAGAGGACCTGAAGAAGCTCCTGAGCTTTGGTATGTGTAGGGTGCTTGGCACG